AAAAAAAAAGAAAGAAAGAAAGAAAGAAAAAAACAGAAAAAACCTCCCCTGGGCGTTTCAGAACCACACAGCTGCCTCCTTTAAACAGTGGCTTGTGTGATGCACTTATATGTAGGTCAATTGTTATAAAGCATTACATCCCCAGTGGAGAAAAGCTCTACTCTATGGCAGAGGTTTCTTTAAATTGTTTACCTACAATACTTAGACAAATGAAGGTTTAACATGTATTTGAGTTGCTCATAAAATATTGCTTTTCTTTCTGATTTAAATAGTGTGTGAGTTTGTAGGTACACTCTTAAATCTGGTCTGTTATGTAGAGTTCTCTAGACATAAAATAATATGCAGTTTGTTTAAGACAGAGTCCCATGACACTTTGTGCTGGCTTTGAACTCACTATGTAACATAATTTAGTCTAGAATTCATAATGTTCCTGCCTCAGCTAGGATTATTACATGCTAGGATTACAAGTATGCTCTATCATGCCCAGCCTACAGTCTGGACCACATAAAAAGAAATATTGGGTTTAAAATTGTGAAGTTAAAAAATGTTATCATATAGATAATTCAGTGATAATTCATGTTCATATTGACAGGACACACAAAAGGAAATGAACAGCGTCTTAGCTAGAGTTGGTTGCCAGGACTTCTTAAAATAGAAGAAAGTAGCATAGTGTAACCTTTACTCTAATTTTTGTATTGTATTTTCAAAAAACAGAAGTTACAAAGAATAGGAGAAATTATTTTAAAATCCTAGAGACACAGAAATTAAGAATGGATTGCACTGGTCTTCAAGGACCAAGAGCAGACAACACCAAAATATGATGAATAATGAAATCTGCAAGAATGCATGAGGCATAAAACACGTTCAGAGAAGTCATTACTGCAGAGACAACGAGGAAGAAAGGGCCAGGAAACCCTCACAGAAAAGGAACACTTGAGCTGGAATTTCTAGACTTTGATTAGTAGAAAACAGAAGGAAGAGAGATCTACACAAAGGCACCATATGAGGTATGCATTACCCTGACATTTGGGGGCTGGGGAGGAATGTTGGGTGCAGGACGGGGTGGTGAGCATGGAGAAAGAAACTAGTTGTAAGGGCATAGGAGCTTGGATGCGTTGTGAGACCACCAGCGCGTTTTTAGTGGATTTGAGTTTCTGAAGATTACTGCTACAGTGGTGTCAAGAATGAGCTGGCCATCTGATCAAGAGAATGAAAAACTGGTTGGTTTCTTCCCCCAAAAAGTAATCAAATAGACAAACTTTTGGCATGATTGATTTGTTAAGAGGCAGAAATAAACAGTGCTAGATATAAAGGGGAACATTGAAACAGAAAAAGTAAATATTTAAAAGCCATAACAGAATCATGGCAACAACTTGAGGCCAATACAGTTGAAGCCTTAGCTAGACTGTGTAAGTTGTTCTGTTGTTCTGGTTTTGTTTTTTTTTTGTTTTTTTTTTTTTTTTTTTTTTTTTTTGAGGTAGTGTCTTGCTATGTAGCCCAGGCTACCCTTGATTTTACAACCCTACTTCTTCAGCAGTTCTGGGGTGCACCGTGTGTACCACCCATGCCCAGTCACACTATCCTGATTTTAGAAAGCATAAGTTATGGAAATTAACTTTTAAAAAAAAACACCTTGACTCTGCAGAAACACATAACCTGGAAGGGAGTGTTGTGAGTATGATAACCAAAGGCAGAAATAGGCTAAAGGGAAATATTAGAGTTCCCAGATACTTTTCTTTCTGAAAATTAAGAGAAGAAATAATAGCCTTTGCCATTACAAGGAATAGAAGAATAGTTTACAAATATATTAAAAGCCATTACAATCCTAATATCAAGGCCAAATAAAGACAGAGTGAGAATCTACTTCATATGTGGGCACACATGCAAAAATGCTAAATACTAGCAAGCAATCCAAAGTGAGTGTGCATAAAAATATCATACGATAAATCTTAGGTGCCATCTGAGGATTGCGTAACATGAAAACATCAACTATATGAGCTGCCAACCACACTGACACATTGCATAGACAATGGAAATGGTCAGTAAAATTCTACCCCCATTTGTGATGGAAAAACAAAAAAAAAACTTTGCCAACTGGTAAGACTCATTGTTCTGATTTAATTATTAATTTAGATTTTAAAATCTAAAATTTCTATAAAAGGGAAATGAAAGGTTAGAAGAGGAGTGAGAGCGAAGCAGAGAGAGTGATTTGGAAAAGGTCACCACGGCAATTCCAGGTACAGAAACAAGGTGTTGATGGCAGACAGCAGACCATAGCAATGATGGAGTGGGAAGATAGTGGAGATGGGGAGTTGATTGGATGTAGGAGGAGGGTTGTAATGAAGAGAAAAGAGTCTATTAGGACTCAGGACTCGAAGCTTTCCAGACTAGGTGGCTGGATGACTGCTAGCTAACTCAATAACACAAGACAGAAAACACAGTTTAAAGACTTGTCTGAACTTAGCAAGGCACTTACAGGGGAGTGAAATAACCACTTAAGAGAGTGTTAGTAACCTAGAGAATAAATAAATCATACATACATGCACACATATGTATATACATGCATATATACATATACTTTGCCTTCCCTGGAATTCAATTAATGTCAAGAAAAAGAGTAAGTGGTGGGGGGGGAGACAGAAGAATGTTTTCTAAATTCTGGTCTGGCAAAGAGTCACCATGTTTGCTGAATTAGCCCAGAGCTACCAGCAACTTACTTACTGAACAAATTAGTAAAGAGATAAGAGCTGAGATGCCCAGATCCACAGAAATAAGGAAAAGGGGTATCTTAAAGTACTATATGGAGAAAAATCTATGCTAAGTTGTGCCCAATATCAGTGTCATTAGTGATACATTTCTTTTTTTCTGAGACAGGGTCTGCATAGTTCTGGCAGTCCTGGAACTCACTATGTAGACCAGGCTGGTCTTGAACTCACAGAGTCACACCTGTCTCTGCCTCCCATGTGCTGGGGTTAAAGGGGTTCATCATTATACCCATCTTAATAAAAATATTTTTAATATTAAAAAGAGGAAATGAGGGAAAGGTATCTTTATCTTCTTAAATCCTATCCCTTAATAAATTTCTATATGTATTTTTGGATAACTGTTATGATTTGTACACTGAAACTTAAGCATTGGGAGTTTGAAACAGGAGAAATGCAAATTCAATTCAAGGTCAATGTGGGTAACTTAGTTATACCCTGTCTCAAAATATTTTTTCTATTATGTGCTGGGTGTGTTGTTCAGTGTTGAGCAGTGAGGACTAATGTAGTTCTGTGTTTGATACTTAGCACAAGCTTCCCAGTAGCCCATCATGACTGTATAATGCTTAGCACCCAGTAACTCAATGTGATTTTATAATGGTTAGTACTCAGTAACTCACCATGATTGTATAATGGTTAGTACCCAGTAACTTACCATGATTGTATAATGGTTAGTACTCAGTAACTCAATGTGATTTTATAATGGTTAGTACTCAGTAACTCACCATGATTGTATAATGGTTAGTACCCAGTAACTTACCATGATTGTATAATGGTTAGTACTCAGTAGCTCACTGTGATCCTTTGGTGGTTAGCACTCTGCATCATGGCTTTAGCAACCACAGCTTGAATACTTAGCACAAAATATCATAGAAATAAATAAACAAATGACATTCACGGATGGTGGCATCAGTCAGTTGCTGAGATGCTCTGCTAATAAAAAGAGCAATCCCCCTCTAGATGATTGGCAATTGTGTTGTCACTTGGCTGTAAGGAGTTGTGGAGAGAGTGTTGGGAAAATCTGAGTGGCCAGCTAGAATTAGGGCAACTGTTTCATAACTGCCCCGTGTTTACACTCAGAACTTTTGAGACATCAGATTTCAGATGGCATTATGCAGGGGCCAAACTCAGTTCAGAGGAAGAATATACTAGAACCCCTTGCCAGGAGCAATTTCTTGCTGTTCCAACCCAAGTAGCAAGATGCACACCAGGACAAAGGACTTTTGAAAAGTCGCTTGGAAAGAGTTCAGTTACTCTGCGGTTAACCCATCAAAGGCATCTTCCTATAACCCAGAGGACAGCAGGCCTCGACATGTGCTGGCCATTTGGAGAGCAGATTCGTGCAGAGTAGATCAAACACTTCAGGAGAGCCTCTTGCCTTGGAAGTACAGAGCCTTATGAAAATCATTAAGCCATTCATTGATATTTATTTGCTTGTGCTGAACTTCAAGCACAGCAAGCAAGAGGTTGAGGATGAGAACCACTGACCCAGTTTCAGAGGCCCTAGTTGAAGAAAGGGTTCCCCTACATGCCTGATTTTAAAGAGCCTCCTAAGAGAACATCCTACTACACAGTTGGCACAGGGACACCATCTCCCTGTGTGTTAGGTTAATGGTCACCTAGAGCTCCTTAGAAAACTAGACGTCCTCAAGCAATTGGGGAAATTCCACAGAACTAAGAAAACCTTTGCAATCTCAGGACCTTAACCAGAAAAAGTACTTCCAAACATGTTCCTTTCTCCCTTTGTGACACTTCATATGGCTCACTTCCAGGCTTGTAAGACTGGGTAGCTCCATGGCACACTCAGTAATCCTTCTTAGCACACCAACACTTTTTATTGATGCCTCTAATCCCATGACTTGGAAGTGAACATGGAGTTCATTTTGCTCATTGGGAGTTAGCAGGTGATTGCAATGAAGCCACTCCAAACCAGTTGTCCTCAACCTTCCTAATGCTGTGTCCCTTGAATACAATTCCTCACATTGTGGTGAACCCCAACCATAAAATTATTTGCATTGCTATTTAATAACCATAATTTTGCTATTTCATAATTGTAATTTTGCTACTGTTATGAACCATAATGTAATTATCTGATATGCAGAGTATCTGATATGCAACCCCTAGGAGAGGGTCATTCTAACCCTCGAAGGGGTCATGACCCACAGGTTGAGAACCTCTGCTCTAAACCAAATTGATGACATGGAAATTCTACCCACCTTCAAATTCGAAGAAGCAGCCTTGCAAGATAAATCTGCCCCCTGGCCTCAACTTCCCCTTTCCTCAGATGTGAAATCCCTGCTCAGAGGAGGGTTGGACAGAATGCCATGTCCTTTTGCCCCTAGACTGGAAACAATGTGCTTCTCTGTGCAAGGGGAGGTCTCCAGGCACTGGCTGAAGCTCTAGACAGTCCGGGGACGGCTGGCTCTCAAGGAATGGACTCAGCTTCTCTCAAAGCCTTAGCAGAGACTGCAAATCTGTGCTCAGATATTCAACACATGTGTTCTGAAATTCATTACGTTCAAAAAAAAAAAAAAAGAAAGAAAGAAAGAAAAAGAAAAGAAAAAGAAGAGAAAAGAAAAAGAAGCAACTGTTAGATCCAGCACAGTCCGGGTAAAGTACAAAGACTCAAGGAATGCTTGTAGACTGTTGAATTTATTAGCTGATAAATTTGAGAAATACAGTCTGGTTTGTACCACAGGACAGCTGAGTTGCTAGGACACTGTCCTTGCCTGCCATCATACAAGCTTTAGAAAATGAAACCACTCACTCCACACCTATATTCTAAGGAAGATCTTCCTCACAAAGTCTTCCCCCAAATTCTCCTGTTTCTTTTTCAGGGGAGCACGTGTCATTTGGCTCAAAGTTGTCTCTTAGTGTATGTACATGTGTGTGTGTACCTTTGAATGTGCATAGATCTCCTTGTTTGGAACTGTGCGTGTGTCCAGGACAGAGGACAACCTCAGGACTGCTAGTATGCCCCACATTTTCATGTGGTCTCTGGAAATCGAACTCAGGTCCCCATGCTTGTAAGACTAGCACTTTACTGACTGAGCTATCTCCCCAGCCCCTTCATTAACCTTTTAATATCTCCAACTACATGGTCCTAAAAGGTAAATACTATTTTGTTCATTAACTTACATTTAAGGGAAGGCAATGCCTCCTTGATCCAACACACATTCTCGCACAAAGCAGGTACCAAGTGACTGTCTGTCTGTTGGCTGATTGATTTATTCATTGGCAAATACTAAAAGTACAATCTGGCTTTTGCCACATGTCAGCTACATTTGCAATACAAAAAAGTATTCACTCTGCATTTTTACAGGCCTGCCTTCTTTGAAACAATCATTGTTTTAGAATTGGTTTGAAATTAGCTCTGATGTCGCTATTTAAGAGGGCAGTGTGCTTATGCAATGAAATAATGTATGCTATCGCTACACAAGTTGCAATGTTGCTCTGACATTTTCTGTTGCTTGACAGACAGTGGTTAATCCCCAGTAGGCCTTGCGACAGTCATTTCTGTAGTAGACGTGGGGTGTTTCATGTGGCTGTTTCTGTAATAGATTCACTCTTTGGGTATTGCCATTTCTGTGGTAGATGCCCAGCCTTGGGTATGGTCATTTTTGCAGTCTAAAAGTACTTAATATTTGTTGTAACTCCTTGAAGAGCAAAATATACTCACAAAGACTCATTACCAAATATTTTTTAAATGGTTCTATTATTGGTTATTAATTTCATACTGTGCTTAATTTATAAAACACACTTTATTGTAAGCCTGGACACACAGGATAAAGTGTATATGGAGTTTGGTGTTGTCTATGGTTTTAGACATCTGCTAGAGAGGAGGGAGGGAGGGCAAGAGCAAAAACAATTAAATCTGTGAAAATACCCAACTTCATAATTTAACTGCGTGTTAGCTACAAACACAAGCACAGCACATGACAAGCATCAATTAAATCTATTCAAAAGAAAACAAACATAAGTTGAGTATCTTTTAAAGACCTTGTAACTATCAATGGCCATCTTGCCTAGTTCCATCTCACTTCTAAGCCTAAGAAAGTTCGGGCTGTCTAAATGTTAAAGCTTGTAGATAGCCCTCCACTCACTAGTGCTCCAGGAGCTGCACAAAAAACAGACAGTGGTGGTGCACGCCTTTAATACCAGGACTTGGGAGGCAGAAGTGGGAGGATCTCAGTGAGTTCGAGGCCAGCCTGCCTACAGTGTGAGTTCCAGGATAGCCAGGACAGTTACACAATGAAATCCTGTCTCTCAAAAAAAAATCTTATGGCATCTGGACCAGTAAGTAACCTCAGGCCCAGCAGTATCAACTCACTAGAATGGTATTGAACCATCCCAGCAGGGACTGTCTGCTGTGTTTGCACAAAGCTGGCACAGAGTAGATGCTGAGCAAGAGAGTGATAGCAATGTTACAATTAATACCATGATGCCATTTTGCAGGGTACCAGGAAACTGAAGCATGAAGAGATGAAGGGATCTGTCTGAAAGTGTGCTGATGCCCTAACCTGAACGGGACCTCCTAACTGACACTTGTGTTCTGTGACCTGCTTCCTCCGGACCACACTCCTCCTTGTGTCTGTAGCACAGCCCTGCTTTTCACCAGGGAGTTTAAAAAAAAAGTTCTATCCCTTGAGAACTAGCTGAAAAGAAAACTGACCCATCAAGGCTAGTGTTTCCTTATGACCTTTTTTTTTTCTCAATTAGGAAACAGTTGTTTAGGTTCCCAGAAGGCAGGCTGCCTTGCTGGAGCCTCTACCTCTTTCTTAAAGGAGTCAGAGCCTTTTTTCCTGTAGAACCTGAAGATGCAATTAAGTAAATCTCGGTATTAGCAAAGAGTGACACACTACAGATCCTCAGAGCATTTGAGAAATCATGTCATATATTAAGGACTTAACATAATTCTGGTGTATAATACCAATAAACACTTAAATAGTCTACTTAAAGACCGAATTTCCTAAAGAAGTAGTAGACATTGATCAGACACTACCAAAAAAAAACCTGCTATGAGTAATTTTTCAGTGAAGTCGATGTGTTGTGATTTATTATACATTAGTCAGTGTTTAGATCAAGTTCTCCAAAACGGCTTTACTAACAGAGTAGCTACAGGAGTCATTGGTCACACAATTACTTCATATTGGCTCATCTCACTGTATCCCATGCATTAAGTTTCTCTAGTTTCTCTAGACAAACAGAACCAGAAGAATGAATGAATGTTATATGGAAGGACTCACAGGGTAGCGAACTGCTTGCTGGGCAAAGGTACTATCATGGAACCTGACCATCTGACTTTAATCCCTGGCACCCACGTGGTCGACGGAGAGAAAGAACTCTGGCAAGTTGTTCTCCTGTCTCCACACTGAGGCTGGAGTGTGCACAGGCCTAAAACCTGTAAAATAAAATAGATGAGGGTGACTAGATTGACTTACAAGATACAGGCTCGGTAGTCCCTCGGTGGCCATCTGCGTGCCGCAGAGACTGAGCACCTGTAGCTACTCAGTCATTAAACTGTGAGCCTCAGCAGGCCCGATCTTGAGCTGAGGGCTTAGAGGACTCTTGGATGACCACTGGTCCAGTGTGGACTAAGGACGGGGGCCTCTCCAGAAATCTTCAGCACCATATTATGACTACCGAGACACTCAACAATGAAAACTGAGAATCTGCAAGGCTCTTACCCTCTCCAGCCTTCACATAGTCATTATTGGACTACTCAGACCATACATTTCAGTCTGTTCTTGTAATTATATTTATTCTGTCCATTCTATTTTTTCCCTAGAGAAGCTTAGTAATACAGCCATCTATGGTATAATAGCATTAACTATTTCTTTTCTTTTTTTCTGTAGGTTCTCATCTAACCCAGGCTGGCTATAAACTCACTATGTAGCTGGGGGTGACTGGGAGCTGCTGATGCTTCTGCCTCTGGCCCTGGAGTGCAGGCTAGCAGGTTTATCTCTTTAGACCTGGCTCATTAAGGATTCCTGATCTCCCTGTGAGCCAGTTTGTCCTCAGTCTTGAGCATCTTCAGACCTTCAGCACTCACCCACTCCTGGGCTCCCTGCCCTGCTCTGCCTGCTGTTTTACTATCTGTCTGTCCTGACCCAGTTAGATCTGAAGTCCCCGACAGGAGTCATCAGCTTCATCTCCACAGCTGCCAGAGGCTGGAGGACTGGGGAGATGGGGGGTAGGGGTGCTGAAGACCGAGGAGATGGCCTCCTAAGTAAGGTGCCTGCTTTGCAAGTGCTGGGACCTCAGTTGAGTCTCCAGAACCCATGTGAAAACAAGCAGGTGATGAGTTTTTAGGACCCCAGCACTTGGGAGATAAAAGTGGGCGTGTCCCCGGGGTTCACTGAACAGCTGGTCCAGTATACTTAGTAAGCTCTAGGCCAGTGAGAGTCACTGTCTTCAATTTTAAAAGGTGGATGGTGCCTGGGAAATGAAACCAAAAGTTGTCCTCTGGCTTCCATAATTGTACACAGGCACAGACATACATGTGCCACATACACCTGTGTATGTACAGCCATATGCACATTCACCCATATGTGCACCTGCACACATGAAAAATGTACACACACACACACACACACACACACACACACACACATGCATATGTTGAGTGGCAGTGAATGGAATCCTGACCTTTCCTAGCTACCAGGCCCTCAGCCAGCTTCAGGGTTCAGAACACAATGGGTCCTTGTATTCCCCACTGTGCATGCCCACTAACACACACTCAACACTTGCAAATATTGGGGACACTTAGTGACTTCATTTCAAAGAGGCTTCTCTGGCAACTGGCCAGCTCCCAGTTAGACAGACACTGCCTAGAGAGACCCATCTATCTCTTTGGTAAATGATCAAATTTATTGTGCAAAGGAACAAGAGAAGACACGGGCAAGCAGGCGACTCTTGGTGCTAGAAATGCACTCTCAGACATACAGATGAGGGGAAGCTTGGGCACAGTGATGAGGAACTATAGCCTCCTCCTCCTCCTCCTCCACTTCCTTTCCTCCTCCTTCCCCTGCACCCAACCCCCCACTCCACAGGGAGATACAGAGATTGGAATTCAATCCTAACCCCCAGGGAGTAGCCTCCACTGCAGTGAGGTTAGGGCCTGTTCTCGGCTGACTCCCACTTCCTCTGTGGTACCTCTCGAAGGATACCCTGGTAGCAAGACTCTGATGCTTTCTATTGAATACCAATTGTACTGGCAAGTCTCTGGGAATTACAGCAGAAAGTTGATTCTCCCCCAAATACTTAAGATATTTCCAAAATGATGAGATTATTATTATTGCTGCTATTATTATTTGCAAATTCCACAACCTTTAAAAAGCATTTCTTAAAGGAACAAGGTGAAATGAATAGTTTTCAGAACATATTGAGATTCTGCTCTCAAGTGTGGTGTAGCTGGTGATTCAGAAAAAGGGAATGGGCTTCTTAGAGACAGACAGGGCTGTCAGATTTGGCAAATCAGAATACAGGATGACCAATAGAATCTGAGTTTCAGGTAAGCGATGAAAAGCATGAAGTGTAAATGTGTCGCATGTGTGCAGTGGGATATACTTATCCTAAGGCACTGATGGTTTCTCTGGTATCCAGGTTTCTCTGGTAGTCTTTACCAGACAGCTCTAAACCAGAGGGAAAAATCAACAAATAGATCCCACCAACAAATGCTCCCTTGGAGACCCTAGCTTTAGAGGACCTCCCATTCAACCCAGGGTTTCCCCTGAAGTGTGAGCCCATTGTTATAGGAAAACAGTGGAAGACCCGGCCCGGGTGATGCTCTGCCCTTTCCTGCACTCTGCAGCCTGTGGCACCCTGTACCCCTGGGACAGCTGCAGAGGAAAGAGGCCTGCCCTGTCAGGATGACTTCCCCTTCCTTTGGCACACTGAGCTGTCTCTCCAGTTCCCTGGAGACGACTTTCACTAACTGCTTGTCGACCCCCAGACCCCCATCCAGTCTGGCCTGCCGACTGCAGAGGTAGAGTGGTGGGGCTGAGTGGTGAAGAGTGAAGGAGCAGACTTGAGTGCTGGCTTGGATTTCTGGTTCTGCCTCTTCCTACTCATGACACATTTGAAAGCAAGTCGCTAACCTCACTGGACCTCAGCCTTCGCATCTTTAAAACGAGGATGCTTGTGAGTTTTGTGGAGTATCTTGGGACTAGAGGATGAGCAGTATTTGTCGCAGTTCCTGACACATAGCTGTCACCCCTTTCATAAAATAACCACTGTTATTATCACTGCCTCTTAGTACTTCATGAATCACAGGTGACACCTGAGGTTGAGTCTCTTTATGCTTGCCACTTAAAACTATAGAACCTTAGTCACTGTTGTGTTGCTGTGAAGAGACACCATGACCAAGGCAACTCTTATAAAAGAAAACATCCACGTTCCCCACCATGATGGCAATGGACTAAAAGCCTTGGAACTGTAAGCCTGCCCCAGTTAAATGCGGTGCTAGAGGAGTAGCTGAAAGTTCTACAACCTGTTCCACAGAGAGCAGGAAGAGACAGACATTGGGCCTGGCTTAAGCTTTTGAAACCTCAAATCCCACCCCCAGTGACACACTTCCTCCTAGAAGGCCACACCTACCACACCTACTCCAACAAGGCCACACCTCCTAATCCCTCTCAACAGGTGCCACTCCCTGATGACTAAGCATTCAAATACGAGCCTATGAGGACCATTCTTACCCAAGCCACCACATGTAGGAATATGGGTGCTATGAGAGTATTAAATCCATGTACACCTTGGCTGAAAAATTACTCCATTTTCTCCTCAGGACCCTTCCCTTATTCAGTTTAGTATCCTTGTAGAGAATCACATCTACAACCAATGATCAGATCACTAAATAGACATGAATTAGGTCACCACAAAACCTCAAAGACTACATTAAGAAAGAGGAGAGAGAGAGAGACAGAGAGAGAGAGAGAGAGAGAGAGAGAGAGAGAGCACCAAAAGAAGAGACAAAGGAGCTGCAATCTAGCCACCATCCATTCTAGTTTTATCTCTCTAGCTGTGACAAAGCACACTGGGGAAAAAAGGCATCTTCAGGGAGGAAAGAGTTTTTTTCAGGTGACAGCTTACAGTCTATCACTGGGGGAAGCCAGAGCAAGAACTAAAGCAGGAAGCTTAAACAAACACAATGGAGGAATGCTGCTTGCTGGCTCAGAGAGGTTTGTGCTTAGCCAGCTTTCTTATACAACTTGGGAATGACAGCCTAAGGAATGGTGCTGCCCAAAATGGACTAGGCTATTAGCAATCAAGACATAACTGCAGGCCAATCTGATCTAGGAAATCCCCCAATTGAAATTCCCTTTTCAGGTGAACCCAGGCTGTGGTAAGTTAACATTCTAAGCTAACTAGGACATCATCCCTCAAGTAGTTGTTCTAGTTCCCTCCTTCAAACTTCCTGGGGGGTGGGGTTCAGATTTGGTAGAGACTCACGTGATCCAGGCCTAAGCCAAGCACACAACTGTATTCCCTGTGAAGAAATAGCTGTAGAAGTGAACAAGTGACACCAGCAGAAATAAGCAAACTCCAAGAGAGCTAGTCTCAGGTCTCGCTCAAGGGATTAAAGAAACTATGGGACTCCCACCATTGCGGAACAGAACATACCTGAGAGATCTGCTTTCCAGGGAGACAGCACCCCTCCCTGGATTCTGCCTCAGGAGGCCGTTCCCCAAATACATGCCATCTCAGTCCCCAGAGGGACTAACATACCAGAGGGACATACACCAGAGGGAAACACACACACACACACACACACACACACACACACACACACACACACCACCACCACCACCACCACCACCACCACCAATAACAACAACAAAAACAAATAACAGGAATTAACAATCATTGGTCATTAATATCTCTCAATATCAATGAACTCAATTCTCCAATAAAAAAGACACAGGCTAACAGAATGGATATGAAAACAGGATTAATTCTGCTACTGCATACAAGAAATACACCTCAACATCAAAGACAGACGTTACCTCAGATTAAAAAGTTGGAAAAGGATTTCCCAATCAAACAGACCAAAGAAGCAAGCTGGTGTAGCCATATGAGTAGCTAATAAAATAAACTTCAAGGGAGGAGAGAGGGAACCAGGAAAAAGAGAGGAGGATAAAAGGAGGGGAGAAGAAGACATGGGGGAGCAGGAAGGCTGAGTTTGGGTAGGAATAGAGGAGAGCAGGATGAGAGATTCCATAATAGATGGAGTCATTGTAGGTTTGAGGAGAGAGCTGACACTAGTGAGATTTCCAGAGATCTACAAGGATAACACCAACTGGCAAACTAAGCAATAGAGGAGAGACTACATTAATAGCTCCTCTCTGATGATAAGGTTGACGACTATCTTATATGCCATCCTAGAACCTTCATCCAGTGACTGATAGAAGCAGAGATAGATACCCACAGCTAAACACTGAACTGCACTCCTGGAACCCAGTGACAGAGATGGAGGAGTGATGAGCAAAGGAGTCAAGACCATGCTGGTGAAACCCACAAGGAGAGCTGACCTGACAAGGGGGAGCTCTTGAACCCCAGACTGATGGCTGAGAGACCAACAGGGGACTGATCCAGACTCCATGAATGTAGTGTCAGTGAGGAGGCCTCAGAAATCTCTGGGGCCTTGGGTAGTAGATCAGTGTTCACCATGGCATACGAATGAACTTTGGGAGCCCATTCCACATGGAGGGATGCTCTCTCAGCCTGGACACATGGGGAAGGGACTAGTTCCTGCCCTGGATAAAATGACAGACTCTGGAGATCCCACCCAAGGAGGGACTCACCCTCCCTGGGGAATGATGTGGGGATTTTGGGCTTTGGAACTGGAGGAGTGGGGGTGGGGCTGGTGGAGGGAGAAGGGGAGAGCCAGGATAGACATTTGAAGCATGCATGTTTCTAATTTAAATAAAACATATATTGAGAAAAAATAAACTTCAAAATTAATCAAAAGAAATATAGGTTGGACATTTCATTTTCATCAAAGGAAAAACCCACCAAGATGATGTCTCAATTCTCAACATCTATGCCCCAAATACAAGGGCACCCACATTTGTAAAAAAAAAATTACTAAAGCTGAAATCTCATATCGAACCCCACACATTAATTGTGGGAGACTTCAAACCCCACTCTCACCAATGAACAGACAGAAACTAAACAGAAAAAAAAACAGAACTAACTGATGTTATGACTCAAATGGTCCTAAAAGATATCTAGAGAATGTTCCACCTAAACACCAAAGAAACCCAAGAAACCTTCCCTAAAATTGGCTACATACTCAGTCACTAAGGACGTCTTAACACTACCCCAGTTGTCATCAGAGGGCCTCATGCAGTTACTGGTGGAGGCAGATTCAAAAACCCACAGCCAAACATTGGGCAAGCTAGGGGAAATCATACTGAAGAGAGAAAGAAAGGATTGTGGGAGCCAGCGGGCTCAGGGACATTGGAGGAAAACCCACAGAAAAGGCTAGCCTGGCACATGGGAACTCACAGAGTCTGAAGCAACAACCAGGGAGCCTGCCTGGAACTGACCTAGGCCCTCTGCATATATAGGACAATTGTATAGCTTGGTTTATTTGTGGGATTTCTGATAATGGAAGCAGGAATTGTCCCTGCTGCTTTGTCTGGCACTTGAAAACCTATTCCTCATTCTAAATAGCCTTGCCCAGTCGGAATACAGGGGGAGATGCCTGGTCTTGTGGCAGTTTGGTGTGCTATGTTTTGCTGATGCCCAGGGGAGGTTTGCCCTTTTCTGGGAGAATACAGAGGAGCAATGGATTGAGGGGGAGAGGGCTAGAGAAGAGGGGAGAAGGGAGTGGGAGAAGGGGAGGGAGGGGAGGCTGTGTTTGGGATATAAAATAAATTAATTAAATATAAGAAGAGGAAGAAGGAGAGGAGGAGACGAAGAAAAAGAGGAGGAGGAGGAGGAAGAAGAGGAAGAGGAAGAGGAAGAAGAAGGAGGAGAAGAAGAAGAAGAAGAAGAAGAAGAAGAAGAAGAAGAAGAAGAAGAAGAAGAAGAAGAAGAAGAAGAAGAAGAAGAAGAAGAAGAGGAAGATGAAACTATGAACTTTTCCTCTGACCTGTGCAAGTAAGTGAGGGTCTTGGAGTTGCTATAGGCTGTTTCTGAACACAAATGTGAATCTGTTCAAGAACAGAATTGCGGTAAAAGGCGCTCAAGCACCTGGCAGGAATCTAAGGTCCTGTGAAGTCTCTTGAACTTCCTGGTGTGTGCGGTCGCTGCCAGGTGGCAGATCAAACACATCCCAGCCTTGCTTCGTTGCTTGCTCAGGCTTTCCTCCTATTTGCAGATCAGTGCAACATGTCTCCCCGGCTGCCAGTCATTCAGTGTCTGATGAGAGCCTTGATCTTAGAATGTGCCATTTGTGGCTTCTATCACTCTAAGCTCACTGTTCATTCACCAGTAATTAGAGGTTTTAGCCTTAAGCTCTCATTGAGGGTGGCACTGCTGCCCTAAAGGTGTCTCCTCAGGGGAATAGAAAGAGAATACTTCACTGATGATTACTGAACGGGAGAGTACCTACCACTCTACTAAGAATTTATTCCATGAGATCACTCCACACACCCATTTTCAGATGAGGCAACTGAAGCTCCGTTACTGAAGGCTTCCATAACTACATACCATAGCACAGATACTATAAACAACAGAACTTGGTTTTCTCACGATTTCTGAAGGTGGAAATTGGAGATTAAGTTGTTAGTGGAGGTGGATCTTCCGTATCCCATCTGCCTATCTTGCAGATGGTACCTTCACGTGGTCTTTCCTCTCCAGGCACATGCATGCAAACACCTTAGAAGACATAAGACACAGTATTAGATGCATACCCCAGTGACCTTGTTTAAATTCAGTTCTCTAGTTCGGATTTATCTCCAGATAGAGTGACATCATTAGGCACTTACTGCTTGTGAATTTTGAAGGGGCATGGTGCACCCCGTTGTGAATCGGTCAAGTTTCAGGGTCTTAGGCTGTGCATGGTGATTCCCAACGGGGTCACAGACCTGAATGTGCAGGTAGTCATAAATGTGGCAACAGAAAAAGGAAAGTTTTCTAAACCCACCCACAACAACTAAAATTTCAAAATCAAATGCCTAGTGAATCTGAGGCGTCTCTGGTATCACTGCCCATGCTGTATCATGTGACTTCACTGCAGCCTCATATCTGAACACTTCACACTGTGTATGCTGTCACACCACACAGCAACAACAAATGCTGCCTGATGTACCTCAGCTCATATTCAAGACCGTTACGTGCTTACGAACTGCAGTGATTTGTGCTGTGCATACAAGCCTGCTTGCTCTTATAGCAACACGGTGGCTTAGTTACAGGAAGGGAAAGACTTAGAATAATCTCCTACCATCGTTCCTCAGCATGTAAATATCAAACTAGTGTATCTTTGTATTGTATTAGAACGTTTCACTTTAAAAATTGCAATTTGAGCTACTAGCTTGAGTTTCACACACACACACACACACACACACACACACACACACACACCATTAAATGAATTTTGGCTTGTGATCAGCACAGAATTTCCAAGAAATTCTAGGGTGGCCCTAAGTAGACTTCTGCTGTTTTGTACTGTGTACTTGTGCAAAGTAACATTCTCAGCATTGATGATTATAAAATCAAACTATCAATCAACTCTGAAAAACATGGTAGACATTCTGTATCCCACGGTATCAGATATTCAGCCAAGATTTTAAAAATAAACAAATCTATCTCATAGTGTGCAATTTTTCTTTTGTCTTTAATAAGTAATAAAATTACATGTGTGCATGAATTATTTTAAAATAAATTTCTTTATGACTTAGCATCACTAAATGCTTGATTTGTATCTATTTTATATAACTGTGTACTCCGTGTTACAAAATTCTGTCAAGTTGAAAGAGATCATGAGTGGAAATAGTTTATGACTATCTAGGTTAAGTAAATGCCCCCACCTCCTTGCTTACCCAGGTGGGCACACAAAGGAGCTAGAATTCATGCTTGGGTTTGCGTGTCTTCTGAGTCCAATTTTCTTCATATCACATGCTTTCAATTTTCTCATCTCAGCCAGATGAGAAATCTCAACATCTCAATATCTCAGTCACTCTGCCAACCAGCACCACCAAAGCTGCTCTGATGGTTGGTACCAGGGATGTAAGACAAGGACTCAGAAACAGCAGAACCAGGAAAAAAATCTTTGGAAGCAGGAGCTAAAGTTAGTCTTTCCTCCCTTAAGAGGACTGCCTCAAGTGTTTTGGTACAGGCACAGAAAGCTGACAAGAGTTGTATATGATTTTTTTCTTTAGAATTAGATATTGTCCCCCAAATATCTCATATATAGATATAGAATTTATAAATAGTTGAGATATTTGCATATATGTGACAATATTGTCAACTTTTAAAACTGAAATCCAAACCCTTTCCAGTCCTAGTCATTTCAAATATAGGATTTTCAGCCTGTAATAATAGCAAGATACCATTTATTTCTGAGTCTTTGAAATAACCCCAGCAGGTATCAGAATGGTGCTGACACGTAGTCATAACCGAGTGGAGGGCAGCTGTTCTCGAAGAATGGGCAGAGAAGCAAACTCAGGGCTGAGAGAGACGCATTTGAGAACAGAACTGATGCACAGCTCTTGCCACTGGACGTAATGATTTATGCTTCCAGTCCACTTAAGCGGGAGTGCTGTTCACTTTTGTCTAGAGTGTTCTCAAGCAGTTCCATTAACTGAAATTGCTAGGTCAAAAGAAGGTCTGCTTCTCGGAGAGTAGGAATTTATGCTAATTTTAAAAACACAAGCATAAACTCGGGAAAAGAACGTGCAATCCTAGATCTGGAGAAAGTGATGGGTGGGTGGGTTAGCTGAGCATTGGGGTGTCACATGCTCAGAACTGAAGGCTGAAACTTAAGGGAGAGCACACAGACAGGCGAGAAACAGCCTGGGCTACTGAATGCCTGTGTTGGCATGGAGAAGAGCAAGAGAATTTAGTGGAGAATACTAAGAAAAGGAAGCATAAAGGGAAGGAGGGAGGCTTCCAAAGCTTTGCCACCATGCACATGGTGTTGGTCAGCATCTCGCCATCACAGGTGCCTATGATGATCCGCTTTGAAGCAGAACAGTGTACTTTGGCTCATGGTTTCAGAGGTTTTACGCTGTGGTCAGCTGGCTCTGTCAACTGGCATTCTGTAGCATGCTTGCTACATCAAGGTAGAGTAAAACTACTAAGCCAATGGCCAGAAAGAGAAAAAACAAAAAGGAGGGAAACACCTTTCTTGGGAACACCTCTTAATGACCTGAGGACTCCCACCCACACTCCACCTCGCATAGAAGTCAGATACCAAGACATTATCACATGGGCCTTGAGGTGGCGCCCAACACAGCACAAGCCAGAAGGGAATTCAAGGAAAATATAACGTCTGCGACAGGTTTTACAAAGGAACCAAAAGGGAAGTAGCAGAGAAAATATCGCCATGTAACCCACCAACAGGACACTCACGTACTCTGGTCAGTGCAGGCACTTGGTTCCTAGGACAATGGAAGGGTGGAACTTGGAGTTCTTTGTGTGCGGCATTTTCAAGGGATGATGTGCGTCTGTGCCTGAATTAAATACACCGGCAATGATCACCTTTGCAGGTCAGCTTGCTGTCACTCTAGGATGACTGGCAAAGACTGATCCAATCTGCATTTGATTCTTCTTGTTTAAATTTTCTAGACATTTCTCAAACAGCCATTATTTTAAAAGTAGGCCCTTTCCCAGAGAGAGTGAAAATGAGTGTGTTTCTCTGCCCCAACCTTTCCTTCTGTCTCACGCTTTTGTCTATGTCCATTAACTAAAGTGTTGTTCCCTTGACAGGCCGATGCAGATCCCTGACAGGACAATATATGCTATACACTCTCTGCAGTGTGCTCCTGGTGAACTTTGAGCCACATATCTGTTGCAGAAAAGGAGCTGGTATTCTCCAATGGCCAACTTTAGCTAAGGGTTTGGGGGTCCATCTCCACTGAGACATATTTTTATTAGATAGGCTGTTACAGAATCCAAGGAATAAATTTAGTTCTTTATCTCACTGCAATCATTACAATGCCTCCCACATAATTATTCGTTTCATTCTCTTGACGCCACTATAAGACTCTTCCTACAAATGAATATTTGGGTTAAAAATCAGTGTACACCCCCCTTTCCCCTGAGCCATTGCAGCATATGGATTAAGGACTTGTTTCCAAAACCTCCCCAAGCCTCTTGCTTTGATTAAGACCTACAGTTGCTATTTCCTGTAACGAGCCAAAGAGTAACCACTGGGATTCATGGGATGAACATTCTGTTGCAATTAGCAGCTAACAGCAAGGGATAATATCTAAAAGAATGGGCATAGTTGTGTACCAAAAAAGTTTAATTTACAAATAAAGTCAGTGGTATTTGTTCAGTTTATGGTCTAGCCTTTGCTAGCCATGATGTAAGTGTTGCATATTTGTCTTTTAGAAAGAAAAATTAATTAAAACATCAGTTTTTGGTCTTGTTTTGTTTTGTTTTATCCTTCTGACAATAATCTAGTATTTTCCCTTCCTAAAATACAGAATTTTAAGTTAGATGCCTCTTTCCCATCATACACAAAAGGAAAAAAAATGCTAAGAAGAGCAATGGACTTTAATTCAGAGATGAAAGAGTTAAATGGCTAAAACTTGGAGGGTGGAAATACCACCAGTCTGCAAACACAGCCTCTTCTTTAGAAATGGATTTACCCAGACAGCAAATTGATTATAAGATATGTAGAGAGAAAACAAATTTTCTGACCTTCATTTCAGAGATCAAAGGTTAAATTCATACCCTGTAGGATGGTTCTATTAAATTGCTCCCAAGCTGTCTGGTGACATATTTTTGAAAAAATATTTCTCTCCAACTTTATCAAGTGTTCTTTGTGTTCTGAAAACATGATTTGATGTCCCAGCTGGAGTCAAGACTTCCTGAGTCTTAGATAGTTGAAATTCTCCAACTGTATCTGGGGCCACAGATTGGTTAGGAGGCAATATTACAAGGGTAATATCTCCAAGTCTAGTTACTTATGGAAGACTGAAGCTGATATTTTATAGCCATGGTTTTTTTTAGGAACCAGAAGTAGATAAAGAGCTAAAATTGTCTACTTGGATATCCTTGGCATTGAGTAGCACAAATGTCTTAGATAGTAATGTCGGGCAACGAACAAATGCTCCCAATTTTTATGCCCCTAAGCAAGTCACAAAATGAAACTTCACAGTTTAAAAGTTAGGAAAATTGAGCTGAAAAGATGGTTCTTGCAAAGAACTGAGAGTTTGTTCCTAAAACCCAGAGATACAACCTCTTACAACTCCAGATCCAGGAGATATGACGACCCTGCTGGCCTTTGCAGGTCCTTGAACCCACATGATGCACACAGATGCACTAAGATACACACACACACACACACACACACACACATAAACTGAAATAATTTTTTTTCAAGACAGGGACACACACACATAAAAAATAATTTCCTTTTGGTTTTTCAAGACAGGGTTTCTTTATGTAGTCTTTGCTATCCTGAAACTCACTTTGTAGACCAGTGTTGTCTCAAATTCACAGAGATCCGCCTGCCTCTGCCTCCCAAGTGCTGGCATTAAAGGTGTGCGTCACAATGCCCATGTGTTGAAATGTATGGAGACCAGGAGTTGATGTCTGGTCTTCACTTTCTTTTTTGAGATAGGATCTTTCACTAACCCTGGAGCTTACAGATCATCTAGGCTGATTTACCCAGGGTTCCACCTAGCTGGC